CCGCCCTATAGCGAAAAGCTCTCAAAAAAAAAAAAAAAAATCACGCTAGGCACATGTGCGTGTGTGCCCAAGATCCCAAGAGGAGAATGGAGGAGAGGGAATTGCGGTGTGGCCGTCCCCCCCTGTAGGGTGATTTCTCGCTTTCTGTCTCTCTGTCTCTCTCTGTCTGTCTGGCGAGCGCACGCGCCCTATAGCGAAAACTTCTCAAAAAAAAAGAAAGGTGCTGAAGAAAGCAGTTCTAGAAGGTAGCCCAAGTCTTTCCCTGCCTGCTGAAAGAATCCATAGTGGTGAATGCCTTTATGGTTCTGGAAGCAAACAGACTTGGACTCATCTTAGTTCTCTAAGCCTCAGTTCCCTAATCTGTAAATTGGAGATCCTGTCTCAAAGATCCCACAATCCTATCTCAGTCCTGCAAAGACTAAAACTGATGTAATGCAGAAAGGGGCTTAGCGTATTACCCGCAGTGGAGCCGGTACCGTGGCCCACAGCTGCTGTCGCTGTGGTTACCGTCATTAGCTGGTGATCACCAGGGATCTCTCCTCAGGTCCCACCTCCTCTATGAAATCTCCCTTAATTACCAAGTCAAATGACCTCCCCCCAACCCCATTTCCAAGATTCCCCTTTATGAGCTCTCGTTTCAGCACTTTAATATGGGCCTTTCTGCACAGTTACATAAATGCCCCCTTACTGCCTCCTCATCCTCAAACTAGCTTGCCAACTTCTTGAAGCCCCACAGGCTTTTCTTTAATTGCCAGATGGCATGAGAGAGAGAGAGAGAGGGAATGTGAGAGAATCCCCAGCAGGGCATAGTCATGCCATAGTCCTTCTCTAGTTCTCTATCCTTCAGGGTTTTCATGTGCGTGCACACACACACACACACACACACACACATACACACACTAATATATTCTTCAAGCTGCCAGGGCCAGGACTTGAACCTCAGTCAGCCTGTGGGACCTGGCTTTCTATGCACAGTACTGAACTGCTGTCTGGAGCTGGCCCGATTTCTACTTTGTATGACTGTATCACTACGGCCTTCTCTTCCAGTATGCCCAGGTTCAAATGCTTTCCATCCAGCATAAATAGACACACGGCCACTAGATAAATGAATGTGCGGGTGAGCACATACGACTCTCAGGTATACACACACTTGGTATGTATGATGGAGAGGCAACATGGAAATGCTGAGATTTCCCGCCACTGCCAGTGAACTACCGCTCAGTCTTAGGTACATGTCTATGAATCGCAGCACCCAACACTTGCCTCTCCTCCAGGGTTTAGTGAAGACGGATTCGTCTTTCAAAATGCAATGGCAAACACAAACAGCTCCTTGATGTTAAATAAAGAAGAGCATCTGGGTTTTGATGGTAACAAATGGATCTCATTTTCTTTAAGCATTTCTCAGCTCCTAATCCACAACACAAGGAAAATAAAGCAGGCCTCAGCTCTTTTAAATCTGATTTCCAGAGACAGAAATGCCAAAGCTTCTCTTGTCTACTCACTCCAAAGCCAGGAAATGTCTCAAATGGCCAATCTCACCACCTTCTCATTTTAAGCTCACTTTCCTTTGCCCACCGCTAAATAAGATTGGCCTTATACAGCCTTATACAATCACCATCTTTTTTTCTTTTTCAGAAGTCAAAGTCCTATCTGCAAAGTCTTCCATGAGCAACAGAGACAGCAAGAGAGGAAGAGCGAATAAACACCCCCAATAAGGTCCTGATGCCGTGATCTACCCCCTGACCTGGGTACGGGCATGTGTGTGTTTACTGTACTCAGGGAGGTCTCCAGACACGAACCCAGAAACTTGCCCCGTGGCTCAACCTTCCAGAGCATCATTTTACACTGTGCCATGGTCCGGCTCCATCTTCTTTATTCTTAAAGATCTTTATTTCTGTTTTCAGTAGTTGATTTAGGACAGAGGGGACCCTTCCTTCCTTAACAATACTCACACAATTCTTTCTGTTTTTCATTCTTCCTCCTTTTCTTTTGCCATCTCCTTTTGCCTAATCCTTAGTCCTCCCAGCCATGTTCACGTCACCTTTAAAGATGCTATGACAGCTGCATTAGGCCACAGCCTGGAGCACAGTTACCGGGATGAGAATCCTGGCTGCGGCTGACTCCCTACAGGAGCTGGTCAGGGCTAGCTCAGCCTGTGATTCAGGGACAGTCACTCCCCTTGTCTGTTATAAGGATTCTTTGCCTTCACAATGGTAATTATAATGTGGTTTATATTAGCGTTTCTTTCTTTCTTTCTTTCTTTTTTTTTTTTTTTTTTGAGAGATTTTTGCTATAGGGCGCGTGTGCTTGCCAGAAAAACCAGAGACAGAGAGAAAGAAATCACCTCCCAGGGGGGATGGCCACACCACAATCCCTTCTCCTCTCGGGATCTTTGGCATGCATGCACATGTGCCCGGTGTGAGTTTAAGCCACCGGGTCTGGGACTCGAACTGCGGTGGTCAACTACATGGGAGTTCAGCGACATAGCCATTATGCTAACTACTGGTCCCAATATTAGCATTTCTTATGATGCTACAAACATTTTGAATTCCCAAGAGAAAAGGTTCCGTGTTAATGTAAAGTAGTGAGATTTCAGAAGGCAGAAAGTATGTCCCTTGGGATAAGAGAGCAGAAAAACAATTGTGAAAATGATATGAGACAATAATTTTCAGATGTTTAGAGTCCTGCCTTCAAATGAGACCTTCAGAGGACTCCTGCGCTTACGCCGCACACAAGTGGAGTTGCTCTGGCTGAAAGGCAGGGTAGGGAGGGTTGTAGGAGCCAGAGCTCATGCTGCCTCTTACTCACTCCTCTCCTCTCCTGAAGCAGTGGTCCCTGGAGCACTCGCAGGGAGAGTTCAAGAACCATGAGTGAAAGAGGGTCCAGAAAGGATCTGAGTTTACATAACACAGGGAGCAGGGATGGCAGCTCAACCTCGGTGGGGTCTCGTAGGCCAACAGATTTGTAAACTGATGGTCCCATTGCTTTGTCTTTCTAGTCTACTTGTTTCTAAGTTTTGATTTTTCATGCATACATATTTTATCACACTTAATCTCTCTATAATGCAACTCAAAGTCTTCATGGAGTAAGGAGGTATCTGGATACACACATAAGCTCTGGAAGAGGGAGGCACAACATCTTACACACGATGAGTGTTCAGCTTGACTTGCTACGTGACCCACCATTCTGAAAGGTGCTATGATATTTTACTGTTTTATTTATACTGGCATATAGCAATCGAAATAAAATACTGTACATAAAATGTACTCTGAAATTCTTAAGAAAAGTCTTAAAAATAGAGCTTTACTATAACAAAGCTATACTGAATAATGAAAGGTATTCTAAATACTACTTACAAAACATTAAACCTGGACGGTCTAATTAGTCCCTTTATTTCTAGTATGGCATTTATTAGAAAGAGGGGAAATAGCAAGAGGTATTTTGCTAAGTGAGATTTCTTTGAACTTTAAATTTTAAGACAGCTGCTGATTTACCAAAATACTGCTTTGTGTAAATTTGACTCAGGGCTATTACAATTTCCTAAATGATCTACAAAAAAATAAAACATATGCTTAAATTTTCATCAATTTAAAAGACTCAGGGGAAAAAATTCTGAAGTTCAAACAATTGCAGGATATAATTTTTGTGATTTTTAAAGGACTATTTATAGTTTGAAAGGAAAAGGCTGCTGAAAAAATATATGAAAATTAGGGAGGCAATTCTTTTTCTAGTTCAGGAAAATTATAGTTCTTGGAGAAGGCCCTGAAAATTAGCTCTCAGTTAATTATAATTGTTATGGTACAGGTTTTCTGATTTTTTTTTTTTCCTTTTTTTTTTTTTTTTTGAAGAGAGATTTTTGCTTTAGGTGTATGTGCTCACCAGAGATACAGAGAGAGAGAGAGAGACAGAAAGTGAGAAATCACCACCACCACCCCAGGGGGGTGGATGGCCATGCTGCAATCCCTTCTCCTCCATTCTCCTTTCGGGATTTTGGGCATGCATGCATATATGTGTGTGTGTGTGTGTGTGTGTGTGTGTGTGTGTATACACACATACATATATGCCCCCACCCAGAATTTGCCCCCACCCAGAATTTGAAGGATAGCTTTAATGACCTAAGGTTCTAAGGTAGGTGTCTACACACGACAGCCTGGGAGCCAGACCATCAGACCATCTGCTTTCCTCTGGCCTCAGCAAAGAATGACTTTTCCAACTTAAAAATGATTGAAATGGAGGAGAAAAGGAAGGAGAAGGAGATGATTTCTTGACATATGAAAATCACATGAAATTCAAATTTCAATGCCCACAAATAAAGTTTTATTGGAACACAGCCACGCCCATTCATTTACATTTGTCCATGGCCACTTCCTGGCTATGATGGCAGAGTTGAAAAGTTGCCGCTGAGACTGCATGACCCAGAGCCCAAAATACATGCACGGTTTGGCCTTTTACAGAAGAGTTTGCCAATCACTGACCTAAAAGAGGGAGGCTACCCCTGGACCCCACCGTGCACGGCTGTGGCACATGGTCGGAGACATACCTGGTTGAGATGGCGCACGTATTCGTCAAGACACCAGAAACAGCAGTAGCAGCATCTGGAGGTGCATCTCAACCACGCGTTGTGCTGCGGGGATCGAGTGCAGACCACACAGTCAGAACAACATAGGAAAGAAGGGAAGCAGGCAGTCGTGACCAGACATTGTACTCTCACTTGCAGCTTTACGCACTCAGGGAAGGTCCAGGGCAATTCTCACTCAGCGTGGGAGATGATCTTCCATTTGAGCACACTACCACCACTACTGCTTATTACTAGTATTGCTAACGAACACTGTTTCCTTCTTGTGGGCCTACCTGTCGTGGTTGCTGTTAGACAGCAGAAAGGGAAATGAGTCAGTCCGTATTCAAGGGCAAAGGACACGTAGGGCCTCTGATTCTACTGAAAAGAACCTCTCGTCCCTCCTTCCTCTGCCCCTAAGGATTGTAAATGGTACGTTTTGCTTTTTCAGACCAAAGTTTATATTCATGAGGAATTCACATCCCAGGGACAAAAAAAAAAAACAACAAACAATATACTGTAGATACTAGTCATGTGCCCACATAAATAAGGAATCAGGTTTAACTTTGGGGGAAATAAATCCTATAGTGAGACTTTCAGTACTATATTTCGAGGGATAAATTAGGTCTTTGAAATATAACTTGAATTTGTGTTTCACTCAAGAATAAATAATTTAATGAAATCCATGGGGAATAGATGATTGACCTCATCCTATCCTACCCACTGCCCAGATTTAAAAAAAAAAAAAAAAAAAGCCTGAAAGCGATCCAGAAATAGCCTGCTATGAAGACCCCAGGAATAAAGCAGCCTTATATGGACATTTTCTTGTCCTGATGTTAATTCAATTGGATGAAACTTGATCTGGAGACTTTTCAGCCGGGCTGTGGTTGTGAATGAGCCTATTTAACATAGGCAAGACCACGCAGTAGCTGTGCAAAATGTTTAAATTGTAGACATAAGACCGGGCTGGAAGGCTGCTGAGAAAAACAATTTTTTTTTTCAACCGGTTTCCCCAACAGTAACGTCACTAAAAGGGAGTTTAGTCCCTTTGTCCTTATGGACTCTGGGGAGTGATAAATCAATCACTTTTAGACATTGGTCAGAGAGACCATGGGTCTTCCTCTTCTCTTTTAGATTTATGAAAGGTGGTTTTCCTAAAGAATTTAAGATACCTAGCTCTAGGAGGGCTAGCAAGCTTCCTGCTACTCATTAACTCATAATTCTATTTACTAATGCATGTATATATATGTATATATATATATGCATGTATGTGTACATGTACACACATACATGAATTCTCACATGCGCATTAGTTAGATTCATTCTGGATGTGGAAATGCCTCTTCAAGTCATCAAAATGTAACCAGGTAGGATTTTAATAGAAATACAAGAAAACTTTCTACCACCAGAGGCAACTGCTTAGTATGCATTTCAAGATAAGAAAGCCGGATAATTTTATGAGAAATCCAATCAGTTGTTCTTAATATGAAGCTAAAGTCTTATTTACAGATTTTAAAATATCGACCATTCAGATTTCTGTTTAAAAGAAAAAACAAAACCAGTTCTAAAATGTATATAATAGGAGCCCACACAGAAAATTCCATTTACTAAGGACACACAGCTGTACCCTGAAGGTGAGAATCAGGTAGGCTTGTGAAACTCTGGCCGAGTGGGGATGAGAGAGAGATTAACATTGTGTGAGAGGAAAGTTGGGAAAAGTCCAACCTTCCCTTGTTTGGCAGGCCAGAAATACCATGAGAACAGCTGTTTTCCTGGTGTTCTGGTTTCCACTGGCATTCATAACCAAATGTGCATGGAAATACAAACCAGGGAGGAGAAAGCCCCCAGGCACAAAAGCCCTACAGTTTTCTGTCCTTTGAGCAGAGATGTAGGTCAGCTTGCCCACTTCTCACTTTCAAGTGTATGAGTGTGCGTGTACACACAGAGTCGCACACATACACACACACACTGTGGCTCCCTCCTTTCCTACACACACACACACACACACACACACACACCAGTAACTGCCCCTGGCACTCTCAAGGAAACACAAAAAGCAGGGACTATTTTAGCAGTAAAAGAGAAACAAATATTATTCCTATTTTATAGTACATTGTCTTACTTTTTTTTTTAAAAAAAAAGCATGATAACGATCCACAACAACTCCTTCAAATTTCATGTTCAGAATTCATTCCATTTGTTCGGCATTTAAATATAAAGAAAGACCAGCTCACTCAGAAAAAACTCCCTCCTTGCTCCACCTCTAGAGAAAACCCAACCCAAACAAGGCTGAAACCAAAACAGAAAAGGGGGTGGAGGGAGGTTTGCTGCAGAGGTGTGGGGGCTGAGGGTTGCTGAGGAACATAGGAGCCTTCTGAATGCCCACTGTCACAGGTCACATTCCTGTTCTGGACAGGCCGTAGTTTTCCAGTAATTAACTTTTGTGCATCCCAAACACTGAGCACACTACGTAGCACGGCACCACCTTACCTTCTCTTTCAGGGCGTCATACACATACGTGAAGATCATCCTTGGAATCCGTACTACAGTGATTAAAAACGACCCTTTCACAACAGTTCCTTGATGGTAGCAGAGAACAATGGAGAGAGATGAAAGGATGGGATGATCAGGAGGGTCATTTTTATTTCTGGGAAAAGGAAAAAAAAAAAAAAAGTACAGCACTTCAAGATTATACTATCAAAAAAGCACCAGAAAACTTTTCTCAGGTTCAAAATACCTACACTACTAACAACAACAAAAACGTAGTGATATTTAAACATTTGACACAATTCTGACACTCCTTGGTAGCTACGGTTAAATGATTTTTTAGACTACTTTGCTTCTTTTTGGTGGCACTGAATGCTACAAATGAATATAGATCAGAAAAATCATTCAAAAATACTGAATAAAAATAAGCTTCTCTCTTTACCACACTTACCCTCCTATAACCCATTAAGTTGTCTATTAATCTCATTTGCATTTTCTGAAGTTTAATTATCATACTCTTCAAGGCTGAGATGACACAGGAGCATTCATGCTGGCTCTGGCTGGGTGACTAAAATCCTCACCAAACCACGTGAGCAGGATCAGCAGCCAGAGAGGTGACAGTGAGTTGTGGTTTAAGAGAAGGGACAGAGATTTTGTGTGATTTGGCTCCTGCACAGCCCTAGCTCCTGAAATCAGCTGATTTGTACTCTGTTCTTCAAAGGTCACTTTGTGTGAATCATTGACGGGACTTGTTGTGACATTGCTCTCAAGAATGTGCACAAGTTAGTTTCATACACAGGGAAGAAAGTGAGAAAGCCCAGAATGGGCATAGCCTTCATCCTACCCCAAATCTGAAAGATAAGACAGAGGAGGAGGGGGAGGAGGGAGGCTGATGCAACCCCTGGGGTGACCCTCTGCATTCCTGAAAAAAAATCCATTCCTGCAGATGCCAGTTCTAGAAAATGAGGCCTTTTCCGAGAAGCAACTTCATGAATTCCAAGTGAGGCTTGGTTTCTTCAGAAAGGATTATTCTACAACTTGCTCTGGTTGCTAATAAGTCACTATGAATTAAGGTCTTGACAACAGCCTGGGTTTTGAGGGTGGAAAAGGAATGCAGCCAGAAATGTTTCAAGAGTTGGCAATGGCTGTATTTTGCTGTTAGTTGAATCATCCAGGGAGAAAAAGAAAGCATGAAAGTAATATTGAGAGAACTGTACCCTGGTTGTCCCATCAAAAAGGTGATGTGTGTTTCAACTCAATATTATTTAAAATAGGAATGACAGCAAAGCTGTTGCTAGTAGGAATTCATTTTGATCTGATAAAACTAGAAGAGAAGGGAAGGCCAGGAAAATCTGACACATTTTTCCCCTTTTCTCTCTTTTTTAAAAAAGGATGTTTACTTTTCCGTTGAGGAGATTTATATGCCTTAGAACTTATTATGGTGCTGGAGAGGGGATGCAGGAAAAGAGGACAACACCTGCTTCCCATCTGGTAGGGAACAAGTGATTCATAGGCCCCTGTGAATGGGGGCCTTGGGGTTTGGTCCTCCAGGTATTAAAGTTTGGCGTTAGGCACCAGCTTTTCGAGAAGGTTTCAATGCAATGAGATGAACCATTTCAGGTAGAAGAGTGTCTTCACTGCCTCAACTTCCTGCTTATGACTCTGCAGGGTTTGGCTGGAAGAAGATGCTAAGTTTCCGGGAGCCAGGGTAGCACATGATAAGGGAAGGCACTTAAAAAGAGGGCCCAGGATAAGAGAGGGCCCTTTCAACCCAAGCCAGCCTAGGGAGCCAGGCAGCCAATACCTGCCCTCAAAACTAGAATCAGCCCTACGGAAAAAAGGCTAGTAAGTGAAGTAAGGACTGTCTCTTCTTAGGCTCTTCCCATGTTTAAAGGCAACATCAGTGCTATGGTTTAAATGTTTTTCCCCTTCAAACTCATGTTGAAATTTAATTGCCATTGGAACAGTATTAAAGGGTGGGGTCTGAGAGCGGTGATTGAGTCTTGAAGGCCCCACTGCTGCGAGTGGGACTCATGCCATTATGAAAGGGTGAGTTTGCCTTCCACCATGCGATGACACAGCAGGATGTTCTTTGCCAGACGACAGTGTCTGGATCTTGGACTTCACAGTCCCCCAAATTGTAAGCCAATCAATATATGTTCATTATAAATTCCTCAAGTCTCAGGTATCCTCTTACGGCAGTATAAAACAGACCGAAACCACCATCCTATCAGCCCTCCCTGCTGTAGATGCAGGTAGCGCCTTCAGCTGTCTCCTTTATACCCAGCAAAACCTGCCTTTAGGAAGGGGACCCGATTATGCCCAGTGAGGCTGAAGCTAACACTAATCTTTGGAATTAACTGTACTTTGAAACCGACCTAATAGATACGTTGGGCATATTGGGCAACTCAAATTTATTAGGCGGTTCGGAGTGGGAGAGACTAGGCCTCCAGTCAGACTTACTCATCTGTCTCTAGAAATGCCACTTGTCGAGTGTCTTCTGACTGGAAGACTGACATCCACCCCAGTCCTAAGGGTGGTGGCAGTAAGGAAGATTTGGGCAGTGTTAAAGGTTAAGAGGACTCTAGCATGTGTCCCATGAAGTCCAACTTCTCCCTTTTCTTAAATTTCGGACTACCTTGAATGCTGAAGGTACCTGACCCTGTACAATAGAGTCAGGTCCCCAGAACATTGCACTAGTCCAAGTCACTGGGCAAAGGGCTTAATGGGCCTATCTATTCTAGTCCTATAATACCTTTGGATCATGGTATACAAGTATTGTTTTTAGATTTTTTGCCATAGCGTATGTGTGATCACTAGAGACAGACAGAAAAAGTAAAAAATTGCCTCCCTCCAGGGTGGGGGTATGGCCATGCTGCAACCCCTTCTCCTCCATTCTTCTCTCAGGATTTTGGGCATGCATGAACATGCACTTTGTGTGATTTTCAAGCTGCTGGACCCAGGACTTGAACTGTGCAGATAGCCATGTGGCATCCAGGTGCCTTAGTCTCCATATCTCCTGCTGGCCCATAAGTATTATTTTGCACCCCTACTGGTCCCATTGGACAACAGAAAGCATAAAGCCAAGAAAGCAATTTTAGGGTCCTAGGAGCAAGTTTTAGCTCTAGTTAGATCCAGCTTAGTGCTCAGTAAAACCTCTTCAAATATTATAGAAAATTAATTTTGTACTGAGGCACCTAGACAAGGTCTGGGCTACATGGGTGGATGCCTCCAAGGTAAAGCTGGTCTTGAGCAAAGAAGAACTTCTAAACATCACATCCGAAGGGTCCTTACAAAGACCACATCCCTGCTGATACATCTGAATAAAATCACTGCAAAGAGAGTTGGGGGTCCTGTGGGAAGGCTGTAAGGTTCATCTTTCCAATCCTACAGAAGATGGAAATTGTGTTTATTTACAAAACAGAACTCTCTTTTTAAAAAGAATTATATACTGAATTTTATTTGCTATTATTTTAAAATCTGCTATAGAGTGTGTGCACTCACAGAGAGAGAGGGAAAGTGAGAAAACAGGATGCCAAGTCTAGGACTTGAACCTGTCAGTCATGTGGGAGTCCAGTGCTTCAACCACCACACTACCTACTGGCTCCCAGAATTTTTTTTTTTTTTTGATAGGACCGTTTCTAGTTTTGGGTAACTAGAAGTTAGGAAATTCATCCGTCTCTATTTAAACTCCTTATGCTCTGCCATGAATCCGTGTCCTCACCAGATCCAGAACAGCTAGAAGCCATCTTTTGTATGTTTGAACATGATGTAGTCATGCCTCAAATGTTCCTTCAAGATGAACAGTTCTAGCTCCTTCTTATTACATCCCTAACAGTATCTTTATAGCTCTCAGGTGAACCATCTTCAAATAAATGATTGTACAAGATAAAATTTGGGCCAGCTGGTGGCTGGTGGTTGAGGTGGCTGGATCCCACATGGCCAACTGAAAGGTTCAAGTCTTGGTCGCAGCAGCTTGAAAAATATGCTGGGCATTTGTACATGTGTGCCCAAAATCTTGAGCGAGAACAGAGGAGAAGGAATTGTGGCATGAGCATTGCCCCCATGGGGTGGGGGGTGCTTTCTTACTTTCCTTGCTTCTCTCTGGCAAGCACGTATGTACACCAGAAATTGGAAAAATAAAAGAAAAAGGTAAAAAATTTAAGTTGCTTGTATCCTGGTATGCGATGGTCTTTCTGTGAACTCTTCAGTTCTCTCAATGCTTAAATGAACGACAAAGATGAATGAACTTTGGCTATATTTAATTTTCACCTTGCGTGCTGGCCAGAACCATAGCACTAAGGAATTGTGAACTTTGAGATAAGGAAAAGTTTTGAAGTTTCAAAATTGGGCAGAAAGTAAAAATAAAGCAGAACTCTTAAACAATGAAATAGTACTAAAAATAAATAATATATATTAATATTATTTTTTCAAAGAATTATGTAAAGCATCTTAAAAAGACAAATAGCACAGTTTGGCTTACTAGTGTCAGATATTGTCTACTGATTTCGCACTATGAAAGATTCAGTTTTATTTTTTACACAACCTAAATCACTCTAGCCCCTCAACATACTCATTTTTTTGCCTCCTCTTTTCAGTATAATTATATTATGTTTCCAGTCAATGCTTCATGCTTATAATATGTACTGTGACTAGTATTCACAACTGATCAAGTAGCATATTCTGCTTTTATTTCCTTGTTTGTATAACTTTTGGCTTTCCCTGAAGTTAGCAGTTGTTTCATATTTTTTTATTTGCTTGGTTTTCCATGGCCTTCACTAAACACTTCACCAAAAGGTAAATCTTTTCTTGGTATGTGCAAATGTATATGGTATTCTTGAAGTTTCAGTTTTTTTCTTGAAGACATCCTTCTGGGAGCCATGTTCTCAAGTCTCTCCTTGGACTGAATGGTTTCCATACCTTCTGCACAGTCTCTTGTGAATCTTCTTCTTTCTGTTCCGGAACCTTTTTTTTTTTTTAAAGAGGGATTTTTGTTATAGGACATGTGCATTTGCTGGCGAGACAGAGAGAGACAGAGAGACAGAAAGTGAGGAATCACCTCCTGAGGGGAGTTGGCTATGCTGTAATCCCTTCTCCATTCTCCTCTCAGGATCTTGGGCACGCACACAGTTGTGCCCAGTATGAGTTTAAGTTGCTGGGTCTGGGACTTGAAACACAGTTGACTAAGTGGGAGTCCAGCGACATAACCATTATGGCATCTCCTGGTCTCCTGAAACCCATTTTCTGAAATTCACATTTCTCTTTCTGGCTTACTCATTAGTTTCAGTGGAGAAGATCTGCCTTAAAAAGATATGAAGAGGAAAATCTTTGGGGACTTTGTCGCCTGGGCATGACTTTATTCTCCTTTACCCTTGATTGTAGGAGGAGGTATAGGAGTGTAGGTTGGAAATAATCTTTCATTAGAATTTTGACAGCCTTGGGACCAGCAGTTGGAGTAATGGCTTCATCGCTGGACTCTCATGTAGTCGACTGCGGTTCAAGTCCTGGACCTGGTGGCTTAAACTCATGCTGGGCATGTGTGCACGCGAGCCCAAGATCCCAACAGGAGAATGGAGGAGAAGGGATTGCTGCATGGCCACCCCCCTGGGGGGTGATTTCTCGCTTTCTGTCTCTCTGTTCTCTCTGTGTCTTTCTGGCGAGCACACACGCCCTATAGCAAAAACCTCTCCAAAAAAAACCAAGATTTTTGACAGCCTTGCTCTACTGTTCCCCTGAGTTGCTGCTGAAAGATTCCATTTCTATTCTTGATCTTTCGCTTGTGATCTATTTTTCCTTTGAAAATCTTCTGGGATCTTCTCGTAACACATGTCCTCCAGTCTTGGGAAATTTTCATGGGTAACTTCCTTTTTTGGTTGTTTTTGTTTTCATCCTATTTCTGGAACTCTTATCAGTCAGATGTTGGGTCTCCTAAATTTATCTTCTAAATTTTTTATCCTTCCTTTCTCATTTTCCATTTCTTTGACTTTTTATTCCATCTTATGGAAGAGTTCTTTCATTCTTTCAATCACTTAATAGAAAACACTTTTGCAATCACATTTGTCATTAAAGGTCTTGTTCTCTCTATTTCTTTTTGGGGTTGTCTTAGTTTATAGATGCATGTTATTGCTCTCTATGCTAATATTCTAGTATTTTGTTCTTTGTAGTTTTCTCCTGGGGCCCGCATCATTTCCATTTTCCTTAAACTCTTTGTTTTGTTCATTTTGATCTCTTTCTACAACTGGAGATTTTCTTCCAATGCTTAATAATCACTGGTTAAGACTGGGGCTCTAAATAGCGACGTGGAAGCGCCGTGTGAGGGGCGTTGCTTGTTGTCTGGTGGGCTTGCCTATTTGTTAGGTGTCGGGGACTCTGTTTTTTCTATTTCACTATCGGTAGTCTTCACTTTGGTAGGCAGTTTCTCCAGACAACATTCCTCTATACCCTCCCTAGGGGATATCAACCTGGCTGCCAACATCCTGGGAGCCGAGCTGTGGAATATGGGGTATGGGTGGCGGAGTCCTCGGGGTTTAGATGTCCATTACTCCCCTTGCTTCAGTACAGAGCCCCCCTCCCAGCCTCAGCTAACTGCTGCCCACGCCCAGACTGATTTGTGTCTCTGGAATTTCTATATTGTGCTTCATCTGGAAGAGGGCGTCTGGAAGTCCAACTGCTCCTCTTTGGAAGTACATTTTACAAAGTGAATTCCTGAGCCTCTCTGAGTTTTTGTGGCTCAGTTTAGCCCATGGCTTATTTGCACCTCCTCACTCAGCCCCACACAGGCCTACTTCTTCCGCTTTCTCCACCATGCTCAGAGTCACTGCTCATCCACCTTCTGCTCCGTGCTATCTGGTCGTGTTTCTTTCTTACTTTCCAGTTTATTTATTTACTGATACACACATATGGTAGGACCCTCAACAGGGCCCACACACCAAGATACTCCCCACCCCCAGCCTTGGAGCCAGTTAGAATCGCGAGCATGTCCACATTTGTACCTGGTGTGTTCATGCAGAGCTGGGAAGTGAACCCAGAATCTTCCCACATGGCCTCCGGCATTGCACGACACTGCTCCCACCGTCTGAGCCACAGTGGCTAGATCTGCTTAATGTTTCTTATCTGCTGTCATGCCTCTCTGTTTCTCACTGCCTTTGTGTGTTTATGCCTTTCTTGTTCTTTTATGACTTTTGGAAATATTGGAGAGGAAGGAGGGATTAGGAGATAAATGCATTTGCTTCATGAGAAGTCCAAATCAAAAGCCCTTATAGAAAAGGCTTTGGCTTGTTATTCTAAGAAAACACAAAATTACTCCATCAGACAAATGTTACCTGCTGGCTAATTTGATGAGAATAATCTTTGTTCCCCTTCTCAGAAGCAAGCACTACACACCACCCATCTCTGGCTGCTTGGAGGCTCTGAATGCCAAGGGCAACAGCCCCTTCGTGGGCCCAGTGTGAGTCTCTGATGACGCTGGCTCCCGACAGCACTGCTTTATTAAAAACCCACAGTGTTCTTTACCTTCAGGAGTAACTGCTCAATGGCATGAATCATCCCTGGCTGACTTTCTTCCCCGAAGAAAACTGATGTTTATCTACTCACTTGGTCTGACAGATGAGAGGAGAGCAGCCCTATCGGGAGTAAACTTCCTGTTCTGAATTTGACCCTGTCATTGTCTTGGCTGTGCTCTTCTGGCCTGTAGTCTATCACTGCCGTGGAGACACACACAGACACACAGGATGTAAGGGGTTCAGGGATGCATGCATGGGTCTGTGGGTATCCTCAATAAGTTTCAGGAGGTAATGGGGTATAAACATGGAAGTGATTAACTCATTAGTATAGAACTCTGTGGAAATTACTTATATTTTATAGTCACATACAATTCCTTTAGGATTTAAGACAACTTTCTAAGCAAACATTCTCCTAATTTTACGTAAGACATGAGGGTTCACAGAACTTAACTGAAGTATATTCAAAATAGACCAGTTTTTTATTTTATTTATTTATTTAATATTGCCAGAGGGCATACACACAAATCAGGGAGAGACAGAGAGGGAAAGGAGAGGGAATACGCATCCCCCAGTGGGGTGTGGTCATGCCACAATCTCTTCTCCTCCATTTGTCTGTCCCATTCGGATTTGGGGCACACATACATGTGCACACACACACACAAACACACACACACACACCTGGCTTGAACCATGGTTGGCCACATTGGATCCACCTCCCTTAACCACTGGACCACTGGGCCGACCTAAGGCCAATCATTTTTGATAGTGTGAAGTCATAAGAATGGATATTTACTTGAGAACTCAACTCTTCAGATATCCTTCAGCTATCTTCCAGATATCTTTCAGTTTTAAGTAATACAATCAATTCCCTATTTCGCTTCTTCCTGAATTTTCTTGTTTAAAGTGAAAGAGCTCGACAACATTACAGATTTAAGGTAGAGCATTTCTTCTCACTATTAAATGAGCATCCAGTCCAACTTTTAGCTTAGTCTTTTACTCCTGCCAATCTCTTTTGATGGATCAGGTCAAAACTTGCAAACATCTTTTGATATGTACAACATGAAGCACATAGATAGCCCGACAGGAGAAAACCACTGAACCTACCTGTTAAAATAACAAGTGACCACTGTCCCAGCCATAGTCATTTGCTGGCACGCAAGGATGAATTCACTAGTCCAGATGAGGCCAATCAAATGGTACCACCACATATACCGGATGCCGGAAAGAGGCCTGTATTCCACTTGGCCACCTTCAATAGCATGGGCAGATCCTGACGTTTAAAACACAAACATGCTTTATACCAGTGTTTTCCTAAGCATAGAACATGGTTCTCTGTAAGTCATGTTTTCTCCATGTTTCATCTTTGGAATTACATGAAACACGTGGGGCAAAGGCAAGTTTGAAGCACACACCATAACTTAAAATCTCTGCAGTAAAATTAAACATTTAGAACACAGATTTAACTTCTAAGGAACATCAACAACTATGGTGATGATTGGTAAGCAATTTACAAGACACTCTTAACACTCGTCCCGCTTTGTCAGTGTGAGGTTTTGAAGAGTCGGGTCACTTTGGGGAAGTTTCACTGCTCATGATTAGTGGAAGAACATAATCCCAGACGCACTGCACTCTAAAGCCTGCGGTTTTTCTCCCACACCACTTTGCGATGCAAACCAAACTTCTTATGTTATGAAACCACACAAAATCTTTGGAGCATGCTATGGAGTCTTACTTCACCAAAAATGTAGACTTTGTAAAACAGATGAGGATCTCTGTTTTCTCAAAAGACTTCATTTCAGGTTTCGTTTCTGAAACACTTGGCACATTTAAAATGTCTACTGGTCCTTACTGTTACCCTTCCTAGGTTCAAATCTCAGTATTCTCTCTGGGAGTATGGGATAAGTTACTTGACTGCATAAAGTTTTTGTTTTTGTTCTTTTAGGAAGACGGATTTTTGCCATAAGGTTTGTGTATTCACTAGCGAGAGAGAGACAGAGAGAGAGAGGCCCAGAAAGTTAGAAATCACCCCTCCCCCAAGAGGGGATGGCCACGCTGCAATCCCTTCTTCTCTATTCTCCTCTTGGGACCCTGGGCACACATGCACCCAGTGTGAGTTTTAAGCTGCTAGGTCAAGAACTTGAACCATCGTCTACGACATGGAAGTCCAGTGACGTAACCATGACACCATCTGCTAGTCCCCTCATAAAGTTTTAATATCCTTATCTACAAAACCTCAGCCGGTAGCAGTTTGAGCATGGAGATTATCCGGTTCGGTGCTTGGTATATAGGGCCTGGCCCATCGGCATATCTCTATAACCGGCAATGATGATGATTATTAATGACTTTCAGGAGCATTACACTGAGGCCAGCAAGTAAGACTTAGCAGTGTTCTCCCAGTCACGTGGCTATACCCTGTTTTCTTTTCCCTCATCTAAAGCGTCCCTTGAATTAGCTCTGTGGACCACGGTAAATTCAAATTCCAGCCTTATGGCTGGGTTTGCTATCAGATGTTCTTCCTCTATAGATTTTAAGTAAACTACTACAAGGAATATGAGTGGTACTTTAAGAAATTATAATGTCTAATTTACAGAGAGTAGATAGAGCACAGTTATGGGCTACAGCATGGTTTTTCAATATAGGTATACAATGGATACTGATCAAATCAGGGCAATAAACATAATTTGTGTCATGAACCTTCAAAAGCTACTATTTTTGTTTCATGCCAGAGAGCATATGCGAGAGAGAGAGAAAGCACCCCCCAGTGGACCTGCTCGTCGTACTGCAATCCTTTTTCTCCAATCTGCCATCCTCTCAGGATCCTGGGCACACATGCATAGCATGTTTTTTAAGTCTCCGAGGCCAGGATGTGAACCGTGGTCAACCATGTGGGATCTGGCTCCCTCCACACAGCACCTAATCGCTGCACTATAGGGCCGGTCATTTTGAAATCTACTCTTTGAATGATTTTGGAATATATATCGAATTGTTATCAATTATCTTTACTGTGCTATGGTCTTCCATATTGCCTTTCATAGAGACTGTACTTTGACCTTTGCTGAAACCTACAACTTGAACAACATTTAAAGTTAGTTTTGTATCTCCTGTCATAGCTATAAACTGTCTGGAGGTTCATAATTCATGGGTCTCTGAATAGTCACAATAGGATTTGTGTGCAGAGAAAGTGGGTGAAGGGAATCAGTCTGTAAAGCAAAACTGATTTCACAGACTATAGCTGGTCTAATTCCTTGTGTTCTATGTTCTGCTGAACAAGAATCACATTGGGAGAAAAAAAATGGAGCAGCCTGACTTGCAGAGAAGCTAATATTTTATCAACCCTGGGCTCATTTTGGCCATTTCAGGTAAGGCAAGAATAAATACTTATGCTTTTCCAAAGTTGGGGGTGTTCCAGAAAAGCAGCCTGTCTTCCTAAGGAGGTGGCCTCTCACTGCTAGAATGCACATCTCAGTGGAGCAGGTCAGTGGAGACTTTGAGAACCACTCCCTGGAATCTCAGGCACGCCAGGGGCCAGAGCACAGGCATGCTGCTTCTCCGACAATGCCCTGGTCTTGGGGACAGATTGCAGTTTTGCAAGAACAGGTTACAACATCAGGAATAGTTTGGGGGTGGGGAACATTTCCACAGAGCAGGAGGGATGATTCCTTCACATGGTTAAAAGATAAGGATGGAAGCCCTGGTGCTAGAGGGGCAGTGACTCCTCTCAGTTGCCCTACGTTGTCCAGGGCACATATTCTCAGACATTCCTACTTGGCAGCCTGGCAGCTAACAGCAGCTAGCAGAACAGCTAAGGAGATACGTGAAGATCTGCTTAGACCTTAAAACCTCTGGCATTCCTCGAAGCAACAGAATCCCCTAATTGTATCACTGCTTTTGAATGTTTTTACTGAGGCCATCTTCTGCTTGTTCCAGGGGTTCAGTTATACAGACTTCCCCTTAGGGCAGGGCTTTCTCAGCCTTTCAGTGCATCATGATGTTGACACTTTGGATCAGATACCTAGTTACTGGAGGTCAGGGCCTCGTAGCATGTTCAGCAGCATGTCTGGCCTCTACCCACCAGATCCCAGGGCATCTGCTCTCCTCTCCTCCAGTTATGATAACTCAGGATGTCTCTAGACATTGCCAAATGCCATGTGGGAGCAAAATGACTACTTCAGAATCAGTGCTTTAAGCACATATTCTCCAAAGAATCAAGCACTCTGGCGTCAGGGTAAAAGGTTGGAAACAGAAGTCACATAAAGCAGGGGCTGGGTAACAGCCTGTGGGTGGGGGAGACATGCTCACTCACACACACACGACTGCCCTCTCCTGGATAATTGTATCACTGCAGGCAAGAGCCCCTCATCAAATGACCAGTTGCACGGTTACAATGACCTGCACATTATACAGACTGCTAAGTGCAGCTAATGGAATGTTAATGAGAACTGGACTCTGGGTAGATCCCCAGATTTGATGAGTCTAAGGGGCTGGAGGTGGAGAGGGCACTGACTGGGTTGTTAGGAGACTTGATTCCAATCACAGCCTTGACAGCAATCTGGACTTTATCTCTCGTGACAAAGATAAAGAAAGTGGACAAGATGGATCATGAGGAAGTGGCTACAGGCTTGGGCTTAATAGACACACGGGCTGAGATTCACATCTCCATGTTGTCCCATAATGACTGACCAGTCTTGAGCAAGTGGCAGACCTTTTAAAATCTGTTTCAGACTGACCCTTCAGTACAGCAGTTAAGTGCTGTGCATAGGAGGCCAGATCTCACATTTGCAGTTCAAATCCTGGCCCCAGCAGCCTGAAAGACAAAGCAGGTATGTGTGTGTACATGCTCAGCATCCTGATAGGATAGAGAAAGGGAGGGAAAGGATGTGGCATGACTATTTCTATTCCCCATTTGAGGATGCATTTGTGCACATGAGTGTGCTCTCTCTCTCATACAAACACATACACACGTGCACGTACATGTATACACTCTGACAATTTAGAAAAATCTTTTAAAAATTTGTTTTGTTACGTATAACCTGACAATAGCAAAACCTACTGCTCCTTTAAAAAAATCTTATTATTTTTAGAGAGATTTTTGATATAGGGTGTATGTACTTGCCAAAGAGACAGGAAGCAAGAAATCATCCCCCCAGGGGAGAAGGCAACACTGCAATCTCTTCTCCTCCATTCTCCTCTTGGGACTTTAAGGGTGCGTATACATGCACCTGGTGTGAGTTTCAAGCCACTGTCCAGGACTCAAACCGTGGCTGACCACATAAAAGTCCAGCACCTTTACCACTATGCCACCTGCTGGTCCCACAAAACCTACTTTGCATTCCCTTGGTGATTCCATCCAGTCTTGTGGCTCTAAATGTCATACATGGCACTGTTATGAGTTAGTACAATAAACGGCCAAACTCCTTAGGATAGTGAGTACGATACAGGATTAGCTATAAGGAGTATCACACAATGCTAATTATAAATGAGATACAGACAGATATGACTTGTTCTAAAATGGGCTCTTCTCACCCTCCCTACTAGTCATTCCATCCAGTGTCCTTTGCTTGTTCTTGGGGCACTTAACACTGAGTGTCTCAAAGCACGGTTCTGGATTGCTTTCTTTCTCTATCCACACTCTTTTTTTTTTTTTTTTTTTTTTTTGGCGAGGTGAGAGCCAAAGTACCTAGGTGAAAGCGCACTGACCCAGCTGTGCTAACCGATGTTCTACAAAGGCGAGCATATGTGGGAGCAAGTACTATCAATCTCCAGTCACAGAGGTGAGCCCTACTGGTGTTAGCGAACATCCTGCCATTGATGTAGCACACTTCCGACACCCAGGAGTCCAAGGCTGGCCTCCACCCCGAGCTTTAATAGTGTGCATCACACTCGTTTTAATATCATGGTTTTAAGGGACCAGCAGTTGGCATAATGGCTATGTCACTGGACTCCCATGTAGTTGACCATGGTTCGAGTCCTGGACCCAGTGGCTTAAACTCACACTGGGTGTGTGTGCGTGCGTGCCCAAGATCCTGAGAGCAGAATGGAGGAGAAGGGATTGTGGCGTGGCCATACCCCCTGGGGGGTGGTTTCTCGCTTTCTGTCTCTCCGCCTCTTTCTGTCTTTCTGGAGAGCATACATGCCCATAGCAAAAACCTCTAATATATTTATATACATCATGGTTTTAAGTGCTATTTATATGCTCCCAGATTCTCAGGTGTACACCTCTTGCTGGGATCTCCCCGGAACTGCAGACTCATACAGCTAACTGCCAACTCG